ACAGCCTGTTAATGGGGTGGATCTGTGCAGAGCCATTAACACTGCACATGCCCTAAGCCCTGGAAGATAAGGTTGGGTTTGGTTTCTACTTCAGGGCTTACACAAAGACGTCAGCAAAGCTGAGATTCATTGGGTTATTTGGAGCTGTTGCAAAAATGTTGAGCTGCAGTGTGACATTCCAGTGGCTTTTACAGCCAGAGAGACCTGGGATAAACCTGGCTTTGTCACACAGGGAACAGAGCTCTATTGGAAAGCGAAAAATAAAGAGAAACTTGCTGTGCAAGAGGATTTCAGCCCATAAATCCTCCAGGCATCGTAAAGATGCCTCAAAACTCAATCGCTCTTGTCAACCAGAGCACCTCAAATTCGCACCCATTAAGCCTTAAGTAGTTTTACACCTTGTGAGGACTGATAGTGGATTACGTGCGAATGACATGTTACAGTTCCAAGCCTCAGAAAGCAAAATATACCCGGTTAAAGCAGATTATTTGAGGTAATTAGTCTTAATTATCAGCTATGGGCAGTGCGCAGCTAAAAGAGGATATGGTTTTGAACTGACAATGCAGGAACAGGCACCATGGAGCAGATGCTCAGCTGGAGACTGAGTCAATCACCATAAACCACGTCCCAGAAACCTTTAGAACATGTAAAGCTTCTGGTACACAGAAGCTCCTGCTCCAAGTGCTGCAGGAGTTGTGGGTACCCTTGGGCTGAGCACAGCAAGCATCTGGCAAAACAAGCCAGATGTGGGTGTCTCAATGACCTCTGTCTTTCTCAGTCAGCATTTTGGGGTCTGCACTCAGGTTATGGGGCTGGTTGCTTTAAAACTCATGTCTGATCTCATTGATTCTCTGCCTTTTCCTTGTACAGAGATCTCAGCCTTTGAGCTGGGTTAGGATCTGCGCTATGAACCTGATTCTAAATTTGGATTTGAATCCATTAGTACTTGGATTCAAAAGGATTTTCAAGTTCTCACCTTTTGTAACACTTGTACTCTGGTTCTTTCCTTTTTATGCCCTCAAGTTTCTAGTTTCCTTCAGTAGTTAAATGAATTAAAGTTGCATAAGCCACGCTCTCACTGAGCTGTGCAGCATACCTACATAATGGCTTGATGCACTGGACGTTACATGAGCAGTTAGAAAGATGCAAATAGATTGGTGAGAGATGTGTCAGTTCAATGCAGGGTGCTTGGAAGTGCTGAAGAGAATCCCTGGACAGAATGCTTAAAGGATTTGGGGAATTTATCTTCATTAGTTAGTCATTTTGCTCTGGGTTCTTCCTGGTTTAAAGGCTACTGCTACCATAAGCTCATCTGCTGCCCCATAGCGTGTGTCCTGATAGCAGAACAGGCTGCCTTTGTTTTGAAGCTGAGAATTTTGTCACCCTATCTTGAAAGCCTCTCGAAGGCTTTAATCAGAGCCTTTTGATCACGCTTGCAGAACAGAAAATTCCCTCACATTTGGCCTGTAACAAATCGCCATTGATTTAAGAGAAGACTGGTGTGGTCTGTGTAGGCTTCTCCTATGGGATTGCACGTTTTAACCCATGAAATCCTGGGAAGATGGCTTCATTAGGTGATGGGATGCTTTGCCTTTTGGTGCAGTAGGGCTTCTTTTCAAAAGTGAAGGAGATCTGGCAGAGATAAAGCTGCATTTATTGTGTCGATTTGGCCTGAATAGGTACTTTTTGTTAATGGGAGTAAAAACTACTAGGAGGATAAGTACTAAGTTCTCCTTTCCAATGGCTGTGCCCAGACTATGCAGGTAGCAAGGAGGAACTGTGTCACTCACCCTTGGGTCTTGACCCAGGAGATGTTAAAGGCAGGTTTCAGGGGAAAAAGAGTTAAGAGGGGTTAAGTCAATAAAACAAATTAACCTTTCATTGAGGCTTTGGTTGTTCCAGCTTATGGCATTGGCCCAGCTCTAGAGCTTGAGCAAAGCTGCCCCTGAGCTGAGCCATCCCTGCAGGGGCAGTGGGACACCCATGGAGGGGACTTTGCCCTGCAGCCCTGGCACGCTCCCGTGGCTGCTCTCCAGGGGGGAAAGTGTAACGCTGTGTGTGTTTGAAGAGTAAACTCCTCTTGGTGCAAGTAATCTAGCTTACTAAATGAGATTGCGCAGCTTCCAGCACCAACTGGCTTAGCGCAACAGCTGCCTTAATGTGCTTTATTTTATTGGCCTGATGTCAGATGCTAGCACTCAGTAAATCCTAACGAGGCTCCAGTGGCCAGATAAGATAGCTGCTGCTGGCTTTGGGCTCTTTCCAGTCTGCTCCATAGCATCAGAGTAGCCACTTGGCTGCGGAGAGGGCTGCTTGAGGCTGGTCCCTTGAGGGAGAGCACAGATGGGTGGTAATCTTGGGAAAGGTGGTGGGGGAAATAATGGGAAAAACTTATTTAAAAGCAATTGGTTTGTGGTGGTGTGGGTATAGCTCACTGGTCACGTTCTCCTTTTACTGAGCCATCAGCTTGTGGGATGTTGATGCTACTGCCTGTGAGTCCCATTTCCCATCTTTATCCTCAGTGTGGAAGTGATGCTCTATAGAAAAATCACATCTTTGCCCTGGGTTTGGAGACCCTGGGTTTCCAGAGGCTGTCTGCATGGATCCGTGTGGAGCAAAGCACATAGGAACCTTGCATGAGGACTCAGACACAGCCCTGGCCTGTAACCAGGCTAGTAGGGCTTTCTGTGACATGTTGGGTGTCACAGCACAGCTGTGAGTTAGGAGAACTTGAAGTATTTTAAACATCATTCACTGCAATACAAACTCTGGACCAGACAGACATTACGATACTAATTCCCAAGCTGCTGTGGCAGCGATGCTGTATCTCAAACTAATGAGTTCTTGGAGTGCAGTTCCATTGCAAGCCCTCAATCATCTCCATGGCTTGCACAAATTGCTAATAGGAAGATACTGCCAAACTAATTTGAAATAAACCAGAATCTAAAAATAGGAAACATCTAAGAGCCCCGTTTATGAACAGCTTATTCTCCAAGGAAACTACAGTCTGGTTAGGATCAGCACAAGGAGAACAATCCATTGGACATGTAGACAGCATTGAATAGACAAGAACAAAATGCAGCTGTCCTGGGTCAGACTGGAGGGCTGTTGGTCCAAAAGGCCACTGCAGCTGGGGATGCAGGGCAAACACCCAGGGAAGTGGATAACAAAAGGCAGCCCCAGGGAGATGCTTCTGTGGAGGTGCTGGTTGAGCTTCTGGTTGACTTTCTGGTGGGTCTGGCAGCTTCTGTGGCTGTAGAAGGACCTTAAGGCTCTGTGAATGCTGCATCTTCTTACACAGGCTCAGAAAACCCAACAGGGCAAAATGAGCCTATGCTGGGTCGAAATGCCCTGTGTCAGAGCCTTACAGCCCGTGTGTGCTGTGTGCAGAGGTACCTCCCGTTGTTTGCTCTGAGTCACAGGGAGCCTGTGAGCAGGGAGGGAGTTGGCTTGGCAGGGTTTTGGTGCAAAACAGCCCAGCTGAAGCTATTGAAGAGCAAATGGCAAACACTGATTTACTCTGACAAGGCAACAAAAGGCTTAATTCAGGCTGCCAGCTCTACTTAACTGTAAAGAGTGGTTTGGAGCTCCTCAAACACCTCTGGGTTCACGTTTCAGTGGTGTTGGTGGCTGCAGTCACACAGGAGCGGTGCAGCAGGTCTGAGTTATGCTGGGTGCTGCCTGCCTCTTGCTGGCTGTTCGACCAGCCTTGGTCCTGTGAGCAGCCCCAGTGTGATCCACACAGGGCTTTGGTGGCAAGACCAGATCCTGGATAAACTCCCTGTGGAAACAGAACTGGGGAAAACAAATGAGGTGGAGACAGGGGCATGTGCATCCTTCCTTTTAGGAGACTGCCTGTTTCATGCTGGTTGGGGTGGGGGGGTCATAGCCACCACTTGGTCTCAATCTGTTAAAACCCATCCCTGTTTTACGCGTGTCTGTTTGCCACTGTACACTGCAGTAAGCTGCATCCAAGGGGAGGTGAAGGGCAGAACAGTGATGCTGTTGCCTGGATCTTCTGAGCAGGGTGTGATGGAGCAGAGACCTGAGGCTGGGGGTTTTACCTGTGTCAATCAAGAGTAAATGGATTCAAAGCACTACCGCACTCTCAATGCAGTGAGAAATGAATGACCAAAAGCCAGGCCCTACTTTCTCACTGGATAAACCATGTGGTCGCCTAGCGCAGCGTTAGCAGATGCTCTGAATGACTGGAGAGGAAATTAGAGGGCAAGCACGTCGCTATGAAGAGTTTAAACAGACACATTTGCCTGTCCTGCCTGTGCCTCGCATCACTTTATATTGCAGAAATTCAAACCACATTTGGGCTGATGTAAATGAAATGGTAATTCTCGAGGAACTCTTTTATGGGCTGACCACAAACTGTACCTGGCCCTGTCATTAGTTCCTCAGGAAAGAAGTTAGCAGTTTTATGAGGTTCTGGCATTGCTACAAAACCAGAAGGAAGGGGCTGTGGAGCCTTAATGAGCTGTGTGATACTCCACGCAGGGCTAGAAAGAGACAAGTCATTTGAATGATGCTCAGGAAAAACTGATGTCAAATGTGACCTCTCTGTGGGAAGCAATTAGGGGACTGCGTGTGTCTTCTAATTACATGGTTAGCCAAAGAGGAGGGGTCCGTGGGAGCTTTAGGGATTGAATCTCACAGTGTGATTTCAGGCCTGCAAGCCAAAGGAGTGGAAAGCATCCCTCTGGAAAGAGGGTACTGTGTTATGTCAAGCAAGAGACAAATCTAAAGAGGACCAGGTTGACAGAAAGCTCTTCCTTAAGAGAGCACTGTTGTAGGGGATTGGCCCCCAGAGAACTGGGGCTAACTTGCAATGCCTGCCTCTGACATCCAGCCTTTGGTTGATGCCATTGGTATGGGCAAAACACGTCTTCTCCATAGACAACTATTCCCTTATCTGCTGCTTATTCCAAGCAACTAGGCTTTCTTAAAGCTAAGCATTCTTTTAAGTGCCACTTCTGTTTCTCCCTGCCTAGATCAACCCTGGCAGTAAAGCAGCCATGGCAAACCTGTGCCCGGGAGACATCATTCTGGCAATTAATGGGGAGAGCACGGAGACCATGACACATCTAGAGGCACAGAACAAGATCAAAGCATGCATGGACCAGCTGCTGCTCTCCGTGAACAGGTAGGTCCTCTTCTGCTTGAGCTGCTCTTGTGCCAGCTTTGCTGGGTTCTTCACAGCAGGCCCTGGAGCAGCTGTGCCCTTAGGCTCAGCACTGGTGCATCCTCATGGTCTAAGTGTTTTGCAGTTTAAAAACCAGCATTATTTGTAAAAGGCCACCGATAGAAGAAATGGGTTTGGTTCATTTGCACCTGTGGGTTATGGTTTGTACGTTAAAGGCTTGTCCAGGCTGTGAGCTGGGTCAGGTCCTTCAACCCAGTGGAGGTTTTATGGACTCAAGCGTCACACTGGGATCAAATCTCCTTTGAGCAGAGCCTCACACTTCATTAATACCCGCCTATTATTTTCCTAAGCATCTGTTCAATAAACACACATCTGGAGGTCCTGCAAATCCACTTTTTTAGAGTATTTCAAAGCACAGTGAAAGCTTGGGGTTGTTTTTTGGTATTAATCCTGTAGCTGGAAGCTCCCAATACAAATCACAAATGATCCAGGCAGAAGGAGTGCTCCTTATAAGGCTCCCAAATGGCTAATGTTATCTGTGATAGGTTTAAATAAGTGTATACAAGTCTCCACTTCAGATTAAAGAGGCATTTCCTGCCATAGAGAGCTATCATTTACTGTTTATGCTTTCCTTGGAAAACACGTAGTTGGTGACTGGAAGCCTGGGCAGTGGGGAAAGCACTGCCGTAAATGGAGCAAAGCCTCTCTGCTTCCTCACAGTTCATCAGACAGCGGTGTCCGAGCAAAGGGGAATCCCATGAGCTCAGCCCATGCCATAGGGATGATGTGGCTTCAACACTGGGGAGTCAGCTAAGATGGAAACCCAAGGAAACCCTCCACACCGGTGGGGTTTCACACAGCCAAGGAGGACGGGTGCTTTGCTTTCCACTGGGAGCAGCTCAGGGAGATTGGATGGTCTTGTACTCCAAACAGGAGCTGCCCCCGGGGCAGGATGAGGGCTCCCCTCTGGGCTGTCCAAGGGGGCTGGTGGAGCATTCCCTGGAAGAGGTGGAAACCCTCATGTTGTGATGGGAGCTGCTGTAGGTGCTTCGGCAGCAGAACAACTTTGTCAGGAGTTAAGTTTTGCTGAAGACAGCTTTCACCTGCAGCATGGCAATGTTTTATTGTCATGTGTGAGGTTCCTGCAGCGTGAATCCATGAGCTGAATTCCCACTTTTCCACCTCATTTTAGCCACTGGTGTCGGTTGGTGTCCGTTTCTCAGCTGAGATCAGACCTCGAGTACTCCTCCAGGGTACTGCTGGTGCCCCCCCAGTCCTGTGCTTGGGAAGTGGTGCTTGAATCTTGCAGCCCGCTGGTGCCCTCTGGGCTCCTTCCATCCCGTGCCCTTTCTCCATGAACTCTTGACATTGTGTGACAGATAGAGAACAAGATGGGTTTTGTTTTCCAGCTGTGGTCAGAAAGTGCCCTTTGATGAGGGAGGAAAATCAGAGTGGGGGAAGATGAGAAGGGAGAGTTGGTGTGCGGTCTGACAGGATGTCCAGTGTGACCCATCTGTGTTTTGGACTGGGGATGCAGAGAGCATTCAATTTGATGGGAGGAGATACTGATTATCCTGCTTATGTGTTTGCTTCATTAAGACATGTGGGTACACTGATAGGGAAATCAGGAGATTTCAAGAGCCAGGAGCACTCACCATTTGTGAGCAGAGTAAGACATTAGAGTGCAGAACTGTCCCATGCAGCACAGGCAAAGCCTCTTCTCTGTACTTGGGAGGGAGCAACTGAAGTGGGATTTCTGTTGTGATGCAAGCTTTGGCCACAGCCAGGCATAACTATGAACGGCAGGACTGCAAATAGATCGGTGCATCTCACTGACCAGATGAACAGGAAGCCAGCTAAGAGAAAACAGCATCAAACCCAGTGTGAGGTTCCTAATGCTGGGCTCAGGGAAGCTCTGCATCTGATCTTCCACATCATCCTGGGGAGGCTGAGGGAGGCTGTGTCTGGAGGGCATCAGCAGCAACACAGACACTGTGGTGAGAAGTTGGCAGAGCTTGGGCATTTATTCTCCAGACCTCGGATGGAAAAGCTGCTTTGTTTTCTAACAGTAACACAGGCTTGATGAATCCCACCTGGAGTCCCCCTAGTGATGCGTGTTCATGTGAACAAGTGCTTGCACATTAAAATCAGTGATGTTTCTTGCAATCAAGCCTTTCTTATCCTGGAAGACAGTCAGTGCTCAGGCAAGTGCACACAGCAAGCCTAAGGCACAGAGATAACCCCCTCAGCAGCACAGCTCATCCTCTTCCTGCTTACATATTACTGTGTGTTTTCTTACCTCCTGCAAAGAAAGTCATTGCAGCCCCTTTGCACATTAACACCTCTCATGGTTATGCTGCAGCCCTGGTTGTTAGGGAGGACTTGGTCCTCAAATCAGGTTATGCCTCAGACAAAAGCAGCCATAAGCTTGGATCAGAGCCATGCTTTGCTTGAGGACAGCATTGAGTGAGGGCCTGAAGGACCTTGGGTGCTGGACAGGAGACCTTGTGGCCTCAGCGATGCTGTTCCTGCTGATGCACGCTGCGGGAAGGTCCTTGCAGCGCTGCCCAGACCTGCCCAGCTGTGCTCAGGGGGAAGAGGAGCCCGAGAGCTCCTTTGGAGCACGCGGTGCTGCATCCTTCCTGAGGAGCTGGCCACAAGCCCACACTGGGAAGGGGACGTTGCAGCTTCTCAAGTGCACTGGGGGATGTGGCTCTCTTGTCCCCTGCAGCACAGGGTCCCCGCTCTTGAGCTGCGATGAGGGTGGGAAAACACTGGCACAGGTTGCCCAGAGAAGTGGGGGATGCCCCATCCCTGGAGACGTTCAGGACCAGGCTGGATGTGGGTCTGGGCAGCCTGATTGGATTGAAGGTGTCCCTGCGTGTTGCAGGGGGTTGGAACTGGATGAGCTTTGAAGGCCCCTTCCAACCCAAACCATTCTGTGATTCTTCTTTAAGAATCTCTTCTCTGTCCTTTATCAAGGACTTTAACTCTCCATGGGGTGGTTTTCCCTTCTTCTTGACATCTCCATTCCCTAAAGTCTTTCTTGGATAGATCCCTGTCCCCCCTGAAGTTAATGGGTGCTCTGTCCTCTGTTTTGTGTGGGCCCAATATGTGTGGGGCCATTTCTGGGCAGTGATGCTATGGAAAGCAAAGCAGCACAGGAGCCTCACTGTTCCAAAATGGAGCAGAGCAGCTGTGGAAACCCCTTCCCAGCTCTGGATGTTGTTTTGCTCTGGGCAACCCTGGCAGGGCAAGGATGAGGGGCTGAGAAGGAAGCAAGTGATGTGCATAGGCTGGGAAAACCCAGACTCCATATGGATGCGTTGCACTTGCAGTGTGGATCAGATTTATTCTCATGTGCTTGAGACTGAGTGACCAAACCCAAGTGCAGAACTGCAGTGAGATTTGCAGCCACGAGCTGTGCCCTGCTGCAGGATGGATAACTGGATCCTGCTTCCCAGGGGATGAGCAGTGCACTGCTATGCTTCTGCTGAGTCTGCCTGGAGACTTGGTGTGAATACTTATCTTTATTCCTGCTGTCTGTACAGAGATGGAGCTTCTCTGGAAGTTTCTATGGGAGAAAGCCCAGTAATGATCCTGCTGGACATGGAGCCCCAGGAGTCCCTGGAAGCTCAGCAGTTGATGTTCTTGGGAGCCCGCCTCCCCCTGCTCGCGGAGGTGTTGTGGGGCTCTGTTTGCAGTGGATGGGAAGGATGACAGCGTGTGATGTTCTCGAGTTTCCAGTAAAAGCACAACTGAAAAAGTGAATCACGGCTTCCCCTCTGGAGCTCCTCAAGGAGCCATTGAGGGGAAAACCGGAAGCTTTCCAGAGCCTCGGTACACAGCAATGGTTTCAGCCGAGAGGAATGAAGGAGGAGAAATCCCACAGCTTCTCCTTCACGTAGCCTGGATGAGCCAGGTCCATGGGGGTGAAAACCCTATATCAGGATATAGGGATGGATCCAGCACCTTATGGTTATCACAGTGAGGTTTGCAATCCTGGGGAATTGGAAGCATCATCTGTAGCTGCTTCTACACCAAGTTCAGCTCCTGGAAGGCTAATGGCCATATGAGTGATAACAATCAGTGTGACCTTAGGGATGTGCTGTTGTAGGAGGTGAATGGTGTTCAGGAGGTGGGCAGGAACCCGGGGTCAGCCCCTCCCAGAAGGGACCATAGAGATTGGTGTGGTACACAGCGATGGGGTGGCTCTGGAGGTTTGCATGGCTGTTGCCTGCTCAGCCGGTCTGGCACCTTCCCAAGTGCTAAATGTTAGTTTGTAAGGGGATGGAGACATGAGACATTCAGTGAGACCCAGGAATTGCTGGGGCTGAAAAGGAGCTCTGCAAAGGGAGGGAACAAGACCTGCTGATCATTACCAGGTGGAAAAACATTGTGGTAGATATATGTGAGCCTGTGCAAGTAATCTTCTGAGGATGATGTTGAGTCCCTTAGAAAACAAGTATTTGAAGGGGGCCTATAGGGATGCTGGGGATGGACTCTTCATTAGGGACTGTAGTGATAGGACAAGGGGTAATGGGTTAAAACTTAAATAGGGGAAGTTTAGATTGGATATAAGGAGGAAATTGTTTCCTGTTAGGGTGGGGAGGCACTGGAATGGGTTGCCCAGGGAGGTTGTGAATGCTCCATCCCTGGCAGTGTTCAAGGCCAGGTTGTACAGAGCCTTGGGTGAGATGGTTTCGTGTGAGGTGTCCCTGCCCATGGCAGGGGGGTTGGAACTGGATGATCTTAAGGTCCTTTCCAACCCGAACAATTCTATTCTAAGTGCTGGGATATGAGGTGTCTGCACCTTTATTTAGCTATGTCTTGTTCATGGGTCCTTTTCCCACGAGGCCCCATGGTGAAGGCCTGGCGCTAACCTAGGTCAAGTTGCTTAGGGTTGTCCTAGTAGTGTTAAAATAGAGCGGTGCTGTTAGTGCCGGGTAATGATTTCCACATAGCTGCCTTTAATCCCCTACAACACAGCTGAAAACACTTTTCCCGTCCTTGAGCTGTAAATTAAACGACTCGGAACATTTGAGGGCAGCATCTGATCTCTCACCCGTTACATTGGCAAAGAGTGGTTAGGTTTTTGCTGTTGCCCAAACACAACATTGTGGCTGTTGGTAGCGTGACCCTGCTGCCAGGGTGGCTTGGGGTGGCCACCAGCAGCCCGTTGTGCAGGAGCTGCCCATGGCATCATGCTCTGTCAGAGCCACCTCCTAATCATTTCGGATTACCTGGCATTCTGCTGTTCCTGGGAAAAAGCAGTCTTCTTGTGTAAGCATAAATGCTCATCAAGCTTATGACTCGCGCTTCTGTTTGGTGAGCCTGGTGTTTCTCCCATTCTCTTTTGCCTTTAAAAGTGCTAAATAGAACCTAAATTGTGCTGTATCAGCTGGATTTCAGGGTGGTTCAAGTGGAAGCTGTGGCTGGGGTGAGCCTGGCTTTGTTCAGGCCATCCCTGTGAGCTGTATGAGGCTGTCTTGCTTATGCCAAGAACTTTTGGTCACTCTAAAGGACTGATGGCGGAGCCTTGAGTTGTTAAAAGCACTAATTATGAATGGGTTTCAACATGCAAACCCGAGTCTGACCGTGCCTTTAAGTGTAAAGACACCTATAATGACGTTTGGAATACCCAAGTTTAGGTGCTTTCTGGTACCTAAAGCAGTGTGATCTTTGTTGTTCAGGGGTATGGAGAACTGTGAACCCCCAACTAGGAGGCGTTGGCAGTCCCAGTAACTGAATGATGTAGCTTCATGCAAAGCATTTTACTGCTATTGCTATTATTTTCTGCAATCAGAATCTCTTTCTGAATCTTGATTCTTATTACCTGGCAAACTGAAGTCTTCAGGGATCCTTCAAGCTGTGTTTGGCATGGGGGCAATGTCATAACTGCCCCATGTCAGCAGCAGCGCGAGTGTGCATCAGACTGACTCCATGCAGGGGAAGAAGCACGGAAATAATAATGATGATCTCTGCCAATGTAATTAGGCATTTCCATTGTTCTGCGCCCCCAGATGAAATTTGTTATGTGGAAGTAATATACACAGCCCTGCATCGTGGCAAAAAGCGAGCTGGGATTGCTAGGAACGCTGCCCTTCCTGGGAAGGACAATTTCCTTTGTCCCGCCAAAAACAGTTGGAAAGACCCACCTAAAACCAAATAATTACAGTAAAGGTGATTTATCAGAACAGGACATGTGGCTATGAGAAGAGTATGTTATGCCCTGTTGGAAAAGCTGTGATGGCAGTGCTGAGCAGTGCTTTGGAACACACAAAAAAAAACTTAAATCCTCAGGGAATGCATCATGCTAAAGCCAGTGGGAGTCTTTGCTTTTGGTAGGTTTCGGATCAGACCCTGAATTTGGAGGGGTGGGTTTGTATGCTGATTGGTCTAAATGGAAAATACCTAAAGTGAAAATCACCTCAAGAATCCTTGGGTTAAACCCATGCTTATTTTTCACACTCGGTCTCTGCAGGTAATTAAACCAAAGTTGAATGTGGTATGTGCAGGGGCCAGAGTCTGATGGCAAAGGATGCTTGGTCACAGCAAGCGATCTGTGCCCATTGGAACATAACCTGTTTTCGTTAGGTGGTGCGGGTTATGATGATGAACAGGATAGTTTGTGTTTGAAACCTTTATCTTCATGCAGTCTCCATCTCTCATCTCAGCCTCTTAGCATCCAGAAAAGCCTGTGTGTGTGCCTGCTGGCTGTTCCTGGACCCCTGCAGCTCCCTCCTGCTCCAAGCACTGGAGATCACATTCCAGCCATGCCCCTGGATGCGGGGAAAAATGATCAGGCACATGGAAACCATTTGGAGAGTGGGAGGACTGAAGATGCAATTGTGAATGGAAACTGTATTTTTAGGGCTTTTTAAAGCTGGCACCTGCTGAAAGGGTCAGGATGATTCAGACAGGGCTGTGTAAGCCTTCTCCCTGAAAGGCATTGGTATAATTACTGCTGTATTCTAGTATATAGACTTGCCAGGGATTGCATATATATATGTAGATAGATATATATACACATAATCAAAGCCTATTTCAGTATTCAGAGCCAGAATAAAGGGGCAAAGCCAGGACCATGCCGAACAAAACCGCCACAAGCCTGTCTGCTGATTTCTTGAACTAAGTTTGTATCTTAAGCTCTGCACTAAGCTAAACCTCGTAGCTCAAGAAGGGTTTTGAGCTTCATGGTTTCAATAGCATGGAGCTGGCATCCTCTCTATTTACTGTTGTAACACTTCTGAGGATAACTTTAGGGAAACATGTACATATAGTTGTTCCCTGGCAGGCCTATATGCTATTGTATATTTGGGGTTTGTGGTTTGCTTGGAGGTTTTGGTCTGGTTTCGGTTGGGTGGTTTTGTGTGTTTGTGTTTTCAGAAGCCTGGTTTTTGCTGTTTGAGGGGGTTTTGAGTTTGTGGGGCTTTTGTTTTGTTCTTTAAAGTGATTTTAATTGGAGTTTCCTTCATTTCCCATTGCAGAGCTGAAGGAAAGACCTGGCCGCCTCCTGTTCTGGAAGATGGCAAGGCTCAAGCATACAGGATCAACATAGAGCCGGAACCACAGGTATGGCAGCAGCAGCCCTGCACTGGCTGGGAGAGGAGATCCATGTCCGGGGTCTGGAAAGCCCTCAGCTCTATCTGTAATCCTTGGAGTTTCTATGTGTGGGTTTAAAGCATGATGTTCACTAGACATCTATGTGCAGGTCTTGCTGTGCTTTCCTTTCCTGTGCTGAACCAGATCCCTGAGTCAATCTGCCTTACACCCAGCTCCATCACTGCCTTCCCCTCAAGCTAGGCTGTGTTGAATCAGCCATGAGGTGGGCAGGACCCAGCACAGACCCCTCCTTGAGGGCAGTGACCACCCTCATGGTCAGCATTGTGTTTGATGGAGCTGTTGGGTGCTGCCCCGATGCCTGCCCTGCCTGGAGCAGAGCACAGCACACCTGGGGTCTGCTTGTGCCTGCTTTGGCCGAGATGCCTCCATCTCTGCTGCTTCCAGCACCCACCGCACCCTCCTAATCCCATGATGCTGATTCACTTCATGTCCTGGTGTGGGGTTTTCTTACTTTTTTTCTGTCTCTTATTATAGAACCCCGGCCTGGTTTGGGTTGAAGGGACCTTAAAGCTTATCCATTTCCAACCCCTGCCATGGGCAGGGACCCCTTCCACTGGAGCAGCTTGCTCCAAGCCCCTGTTTCCAACCTGGCCTTGAGCACTGCCAGGGATGTGGAGCATCCATCTTTCTCTTCCTTCTCTCTGTTTTGCAGCTTGTCTCTTCCCTCTCTCTTCAGCTCTTCTCCCATCAGCATTCTGCTTCCACTTGCCCTGCCTTCCTGCCCTGTGATCTCTGAGAGGCAGGGCAAGGACATCCCTGTCTCCAGCAGCATCCTGATGCTGGGAGGTGGATGGATCAGAGCAAATCTCCATGTTCTGTACCTATCTCTTGAGTAGCACCTTGTTAGTGAGGTCAGGATGGCTTTTGTTCTCTTCTGGCTCCTTAAAGGGAAGAGGAATGGTGTTTTGCTCCTTTCTGCCTCTGAGCTACCCGACCTTAGGTTTTCTGGATGTGTTGGTCCATGATACATGCTGAGAGGTATCTGTGGAATGAGGAGGAGACCAGGAGGAGTGTTCAGATATTGCTTGTATGGTTTCCTTCTCAAAGGTGGTTTGTCTTACGGGCTGTTTCATGAGAGGATTTCCTCCAGCACATGCAGATGCTGCTGGATTAGCTCTGATGCTTGTATCTAGAGGTGGCTTATGCAGTGTCCAGGCAGGGGTCCCAAGGTCCCTTCACAGCTCTCCCTTGGCTCAGTCCAGAAGGAATACGAGACCTGCAAGGGTGTAAAAGGGCAGGATGATGCTGTAAGGAGTGGTGTTGGCTTCATTTCCCTTTGGTGAGGCGCGGGCAGAGAGCACCAGCAGCAGAACCTCCACCAAGTAAGGAGGATGAGTGTGAGGTTCCCCAGACAAGGAGCAGACCTGCATAGTCCCGCCTGGAACCTGTTAACTGCCACAGCCATGTGGAAGATGGAAGTATTTCACATTCCTATAGTGGGCAGAGGGGTTTTCAGGCACCAGCCCTGCACAACAGCAGCACCAGCAAACCCACGCCAGGGTCACAGACCAGCAGCTCGGGGTCTTTCCTGCCCTGAGCAGCGGAGCAGGGGGATCTGTGTGCTTGGGCTTTGAGTCCTGGCCACATTAGCTGCATTAATCAATTACAGCAATCTCTCCTGACAGATACTTTCTTTTTAATAGACTTTAATGTGCCTCAAACCCTGTGAATAATGTTAAATGAGGAACAAATGTGCAGCAGTCCCCTGCCAGATACAACATTTCTGAGGTTTAATGCAGACTGGATTTGAATCTGACTATTAATATATGTTACATATGGATCTCTTTAAAAATTAGACAGTTACAAAGACTATAATGAAGGGGGAGAGGTGGATTTTCCTGAATCCAGACCTATACTGAAAGCGTGTAAATCTGGGGAGTGCTCGGTGGGTAAAGCAGATGTGTTTGTGGCAAAGCACTGAGGCATGTGAACAAGAATAAGCAGGCACAGACAGCAGGTTCATATGATCATGGAATTAGGGCATGGTTTGGGTTGAAGGGACCTTAAAGCTCCTCCAGCTCCAACCCCTGCCACAGGCAGGGACCCCTTCCACTGGAGCAGCTTGCTCCAAGCCCCTGTGTCCAACCTGGCCTTGAGCACTGCCAGGGATGGGGCAGCCACGGGTTTGGCATCCATAGGTCCCTGCTCTTGCTCTCTTTTCGGTGGCTGTATCCCCACATTGTCTTGCTTAATGGCTTCTTGTGTTTCCCAGAGAGGAGATCAAGGAGATTGCATGCACTTATTAGAATGCTCTTGCTGTGATTGACTCCCCAGACTGAGACTGTGCCTTGAGCATGACGTCGACTGCTTGGGACACGTGCCAGCAGCTGTCCTAACCCCTGAGTTATTGCTGATGCCCTCACGACTTGACCGATGCTAAGGGTGATCATCAGCACCCAAGGGTACAGACCCTCACAGCGGGGATCCCATCCCCTGGGAGCAGAGATGCTGGTCATGGTCAGAGTCCCCTCTGGAGTGATGCCATGCGACCCTGGGCTGTATTCATCCAGCCCCTGTCGCAAAGGCGTTTGTTAGACTGTGAGGGAGAAAAGACTCATTATAAAGTAATGGCTTGGCTCAATATGTGTAACCTTTAAGCACGCTTCCTCACTTCTGGGAACAAACAAACTGCTTTGAAACCCAGTTCTGTTAGAAATCTGCCCTCGGATCACAGAAGCAGGGCTGGGGCTGCTCCTTTTCAATACCGGGCTGAGAATTTTGCTCCTTGAAAAGGGTTTTGAGAGCTTTACCCCGTGTGGCCTTTCCAGTAATGTGAAGCACATTTTCCTTCTTCCAGGCTTTACTCTATCAACTTTTCCATTGTGCTGGGCAAAGATGTCTTGGAAGTCTTCTGACTTGTGACTGGAGCAGCTCTTGCTGGAGGCCCTGGAAGATGTGAGCATGAGCAGAGTGCCTAAATCTGTGTGATTTCTAGGAAAGCATGCGCCCTGTAATTGGGTACATGTCTGTTTATTTAGGTGCAGTGTTTGTCTTGAAGGCAGTGAGGCTTGCAGTTATCTTTGTGCGAGAGAGCTTGGAAGGTACGGGCCAGCTGATGACCGCTCCTCTCTTTCTAAACGTGTTGTGGTTTCAGTTGAGCTTTGTGGAAAACCCCTACTTAGAGACTAAGAATGTAATCAATCCCCCCTCTGAAAACTTGGATTAAGGCTGTGACTGCAGGGAATCACTGCGCTTGCAACAGAGGAGGCTGGACTCGGAGAGAGCTGCTTGTTCGCAGTTAGAATCGACACTGAACAGGGTGGTAGCGAGTCACCTTCAGGAAATAATAGGGGTTTAAAAAGTAGGTTTTGGTTATCAGTTGGTTACATGGCACAAGTCTGGCCTTAACAGCAAGGGCCTATAGAGGAGGGCACAACCTCAGTGACATTCATACTTACATCCTGACTAATGAAGGGCTGTGTGTCTGGCAGGACCTGTGGGGATGCTGTGGGGTGGCTCAGTGCTCTCCAGCCAGCAATGCTGTCAGCTGGAGTCAGGGTTTCCATCACACTGGAATGACATAGCTGCTGATGCATTGGGATCTCTGGTCTCCAGGTATAAAATCACTGCTGATGCATTGGGCTCTTCGGTCTCCAGGTACAAAATCACTGCTGATGCATTGGGATCTCTGGTCTCCAGGTACAAAATCACTGCTGATGCATTGGGCTCTTCGGTCTCCAGGTACAAAATCACTGCTGATGCATTGGGATCTCTGGTCTCCAGGTACAAAATCACTGCTGATGCATTGGGATCTCTGGTCTCCAGGTACAAAATCACTGCTGATGCATTGGGCTCTTCGGTCTCCAGGTACAAAATCACTGCTGATGCATTGGGATCTCTGGTCTCCAGGTACAAAATCACTGCTAATGCATTGGGATCTCTGGTCTCCAGGTACAAAATCACTGCTGATGCATTGGGCTCTTCGGTCTCCAGGTACAAAATCACTGCTGATGCATTGGGGTCTCTGGTCTCCCTTTGCTGCCAGCTCTTTGCCCAGTGTCTGTGTCACTGTGGGCCCTGGCAGATGGAGAGAATGGGATCACCAATCCATCAGTTCCTGGAGATCTCACTGCCTTCAGGTTCCTGTAGTGTGAGCTCACTGGTCAGGATACCACCATGTGGTGCTAACAAGGGGAGAGGATGTTTGCTCCTTGACTGTTCCTTTACTGCCAGAATCAGCAGCTTTCTGGCCCTGGACTTTGAGGCACAGCCCATCAGTGCTAACTGACGGTAGATAAGTGTCTGGCTGGGAGGATAATTGCTGCAGGAATTAATTGGCAGCGTGTAGCCAGAGCTGGAATAGGATGAAAGTGCTCCCAGACCTGGACCCTTGGCTAAAATAAGCTACATGGGGTTGCAGGCTGGGTTTCCTCCGGCTGTCTGGGAGGGAGAGGCACTTCCCGCAGGTCAGCCTGGTTGCCGTGGGAATGGCATCCCAGTGCCACCCAGCCGGGACGCCGGAAGATCCAGTGGCATGGTGTTCCCAGGGGTGGGGATGATGGGTCAGTGCTCCTGTCCCCTTTGCCTTGGCCCTCGCTCATGCTCTGCTTCACAAGAAGCAGCTTTACAAGTCCAGCCAAGGGCTGAGCTCTGAGCCATGGAGAAGAGCTGGTATTTGTTAATGAGGATGAACGACTCCTCACTTAATTGACTCCCAGTCTTGCTTTGAGTTCTGGGTGTGCTGGTGTTGTGCAGGAGACTTCCAAACATCTTTGCAAGGCTTGGCACAGGCCACGCTTATTCCTGTGAACGGGGGGGTTAAATCCTCTTCGATGGAGAGGTGGGATTGCCTTTCCCAAGGTGACTGACCTTCCTTCCTCCCTGGTCCCAGGCGGGACGGGCCACGGCTGCTCCTGGGAAAGCTCTTGCAGGACCCTTGGTCCCAGCAGATGGGTATGGGACAGAGGGAGGGGAAACCGCCTGCCTCGTGCTCTGGGGAAAACAAAGAG